CTATTGTGAAATTATGAAAAAAGATATCTTAAATGTCAGATGTCTACTATATTGATTTAGGCTATATTATGCCAAAAAAGTCAAAAATTAAAACATAAATATGCAACAATGTTTGTTAAACCACTTTCAAAGTTTTTTCTGGCTAATAGTGCTGCCCACAGCAAATACAGTACATTATGCCCAGCAATTAACCCTGGACCTCTGCTTTTGCCACAAGAGGGAGACATTTACAAACACATTTCTACTCAAAAAGGTAGCATTGACTAAAAGACATCTAACATCCATACGTGAGGTGAGAAAAAGGCACACACACACACCGCACAAATTAAAATAATAATTATTATTATAACAATAATTTCAGACCGGGATTGTCAGGCTGCCAAGTAATATAACATTATTTAATCAATCAATCAATCAAAACATGTAAATAAAGGATAAGCCTACAGCATATGAGTCAATACAATCTACAGTAGTTTGTTGTCAGACACTCAGGGACCAACTCTGTGAGTTCAGACTTTCTGAGAAGACTTTGTGTTTAGCAACAAAGAGTGTAGGAAGGGAGGTAAAAGAACAGCGACTTTAGGTTGCCCTTGAGGCCTGATACACATAAGATTATTTTTTTCTTAAGATCACCAGTAAATCTGTATTAATTTTGACCAGAACCACTTAAAAGGAATCGTTAAAGTGGATTAATCAAGCCCGTCCTGTTTAATGTCTCCTGTTAATTAGTTTGTCAGCAGTGTTTTAATATCGCCTAATGACTTCATATTTCACTGATGACATTAAAGGGGTGTTAAAAGAGGGGAAATGGCCCATTCAGGATTCAGTTCTTTCACTTAAGACGCCCTCGGTGAATAAGACAAGGTCACAGAGGCCTAGCCTTTAGGGAGAGATACATTATCAGGGGATGGGGGTGGAAGAAATCCCATAGACAAAGCTCTCCTCCCTCTACAACAGCATGACGGGCACAATGTGATACAGTTCTGTTTTAGAACGATACACTGTACAGGGAATTGATGATACAGCTTAGGGCAACTACGTTGTATAGGATGGCAGGATAGCCCCACATTGTACAATAATAATGATACTGGGAACTAAGTCTTGGTGCATTTTGGAGGAGAGTGGTGAGAGCAAGTGTCATATTCATAACATTTTAAATGTTTCTTGACCATTCTGATTGATATACACTCAGCTGGCAGCCGATTAGGCACACCATGCTCAGACTAATACAGTCCGTCCAGTGAATCCTCCTTCATGAAGGTGATAATGTTCATTGTGTGTTGAAACTTTTTAAAGAGGTGTGAATTCAACTGTATGATCATGGAAGATGTCATGTGTCGTGGTGCTGAATGGTACTGCATTATACTGACAGGTGTTTCTATTATTTTCTCCACCCAATTTATATGAATGAAGCTAGGCTAAATAACAGAAAAAGGTTATGTATAATGTATAACAGTGGCACAATATAGAGAAAACAGCAAACTGATATTTCCTAATGCATTAGAGTTTAGTCCTTTTCAATCTTCATCAGCACTTTCTAAAGCTTTCTAAGTAAGAACAAAGAAATCAGAAATCGTAAAGTTGTAACTCACAGTATTGAGGACACTGCATTTTCTCTGTGATGAAAATCCTATGTTAAACAAAATGCTCAATGGAGTCTAATGGATCCCAAACAAGTCTATGCACTGCTTCCAAAATGCTTTGTTTGACAAATCAATTTTCCCATAACCTGGTGAGGAGAAAAGTGATGCAGATTGATCCCACCCCCTGACTTTCTTTACAGAATATTGTTTGATGACTGGAGAGATTAATTGGTATGACATCTGAAAACCTTCTCTTGACTGTCAGCATCCACGCATCTATATGCCAATCGAAGCACAGTCTAATTGTCTCCTCTATAAAACCCCACCTCACAAATTATAGATGGTCCCTATATAAACTATTCTCAATATAAGCCCTAAACAACATTGTGCTGATTAATCAGACATGGGTATGAATAGGGGTTATGCTGGGTTGATAAGATAGAGTGCATTAAAGGGCATCACCTGAAATGCTGCGGCAGCACATTTTCCTCTCAGCACAGTAGATCTGAAATATACAAATCAGATCCGTCCCAGCACCTGCCTCAGTAAATGCGCTTTACAATCATCAGCAGTTCGTCCTGTGTGAATCGAGGAACTTAATTTGAAATAGAACAATTAATGTGAGGACCACAAAGAGAAAATCAGCTAAATAAATGGCTTTGAAAATGCTGGTTATGTCATTCCCAGATGTGGTTTTGTATATGGCCGTGTAAGTTACTAAAGTCTTACGTTTAAGTTATGACATGTAACATTGTTGCTTGGACCTTGGCAAGATTGAAACAAGCAGAAATATTTCACAGAAAAATGAGGGTCAGTGTGTATGATTCTTGCATCAATGTACCTTTGTTTGTCAGGCATTAAAATAATTTGATTAGCCCAAAGCAGATGTACCATTCTGGTTATTTTGCTTATGAAAATTTATCAAAAGAATTTCAGAAAAAAAATCCCGTACCATAACCCATTGCACATTGATATAACGATATAAATCACAATATAGAATTACATATACTGTTATCTAACCAGAGTTGACCTAAAACAACCCACTATAATGCATACAGAACATAATACATTTATACTGGAGCAGTAATCTCTCTAGTATTAAAGAGGGGGGAAAACAAATGCACACACTGGGTCTCATTTGTCAACATCTTCCTCAGTGTTTTTGTAAATTTCTTCATAGGTTGTTCTTAAGGAAGGTCCTAAGAAAAGTCTACATCTGATTCATGAACATGTTCTTAAACTACGGAATTGTTGGCACCTGTGTTCTTAGACATAGTAAAGATACACACGTAAACGTGTTTGGTTTCTAAGTAGAGCATTTCCCAATTGCAAGTTACAAATAATCACACTGTAAAAGTTAAATTTAGAACCTTAAAAACACACAATTAATTGCTTGCTGCATTTTTTAGTGTAGTGTTTATTCATTTTAAAAGACCATAATACTTTGTAAAATAATGGGAAAAATATTAAAGAAATACTAATAATGACAAAACTGTTATTCTAACTTAAATCTTACAACATGATGTAACTGTAGAACTGAAGCAAACTAAATAACAAACTATTTCACACAGCCCTCAGCGCTCAAATGTGCGTGTGTTCTACAGTGAAAACTTTTTAAGAGGGTTTTACCAACACATTTGTTCGTAACAGTGGTTGGTGAATGAGACCCAATGAGAGTAGGCTGAAATGTCACAGTTTACTGTATGTTGTGCAGCGTGTGGTTCATGCCTAGTTACTATAATGTTGCAATCAAGAGAATAAAATGAAAAACAGGTGTTATCAATGCACATGTCAGACAAACAGTTCTGCATAAAATCACATTTAAAATGACATTTTGTTGTCCCAAAACTGTCTCTCATAATGGGGTAACAGAAGATGGAGATGGCCTTGTCTACAATACTAAAACAGCCAGGAATCTGTGGTCTATAGTCTAGTCGTTTCCCATCAAAGACTGTGTTTAATGGGGAATCTTCCCTCATCATTTCATCACCATTTATTTATCATTCACAATGACTAACTGCCTGACTAGGCTTCAATTCTGTGGGCTGGTTTTTTCACTAAGCAAGCTACTGGGCTGCCCACCTCCCTATCACCCCAACACACCCACTTGTCTTTGAAAAACTGTAATTGAATGAGTTTATGTCGTCAAAGTGATTAATCATATTAATTTGTACTTATTAGTGGGATGGTTGAAAGCGATGACAATTAGATTAATGAAATCAGTTAATTCTTCCTACCCACACCTCAGTCCCTTCTATAACAAACCAAAAAAAAAAAAAAAGAAAGAAAGGGGGACTGTTATGACAAAATTGGAAATCAAGATTTTGCTGCTAATTGAATGTCTGCTTTTATTAATGATGAGGTTTATAAAAAGACCTTGAGAAACGAGTATTAATTGATTAATCAAAGTACTCCAAATTACTAGGGGAAGAATACAAAAACACTTCTGTGTCTTTCACACAGTGCTAAAACACGGTACCTGCTAAATAAACAAAATAGTGTAAGGTAGGTTGAATGAAGAAGAAAACCTGAAACAGAATTTGCTTTTTTGTGTGTGACTGTGTCCCATACACTACACAACTCCACAGTGCCACCTTTTATTACCAACACACACAGCCACTTACATACAGGACAAAGACCATAAACCCCATCAGACCCCTCAGTCATGGTGCTCTGCCCCAGCTAACTGGTCCCGCCCCATAACAGAACATGAACAAAACAATAACTCACAGTGTGTCATGCTGGGGGACCCCGCCAAGTGCTGCTGCACCCAGACCCTACAATACTGTTTACTGACATCTGGCTATATAGCTGTTGCTTAAATGTCCTTGCTGACTGAAGTATTTGTAAAACCTTTTCAAGTTTTTCTTGTGAATATTAAAGCAGAAGTGACATTGTATCTCATTTTATTTCAGTATCTTGCATGATATTTAACATTACTCATTTGTAATGGGGGTGACTGTGGTTCAGTGGGTAGAGCAGTCTCCCAACCAGAGGGTCAGAGGTTTGAATTTTGGTGCCTGCAGTTCACATATCGAAGTGTCCTTGGGCAAGAC